GCCTCGACCTGCTGGGCTCCGGCGATCCTTCTGCCTCAGCCTTCCAAGTAGCAGGAATTACAGGCATGCGCTACCACGCCCAGCTGATTTTTTGATTTTATTGTAGAGATGAGATCTCGCTGCCCTAGCGGGTCTCGAACCCACGGGCTCAGGCAATCCACTCACCTCAGCCTCCCAAAGGCGCGGGATTACAGGCTGAGCCACCAAGCCCGGCAACCCTCTCACTATGTAGGGAACACACTGCATGGACAATGCTTGCAATGAGAGTGGTCTGTCTTCACAGGAGGCCTGACATCAACATAGCAGGACAACATCTGTCTAGGTCAACTGTCGCCTTAGAAGTTGGGTCAGAGAAGATACAGTGATCTTGACTGGTCTTTTTCCAAACCATGTTATTATCAGTAGTGACCTCATTGATTTCTGAGGGAATGTCACTCTTCGTTTCAAGACTTCAGCCAGTTTTCCCACGTTGACAGTGATTCTTCCTTCCCAATCATATGATTTTTTTTTTCTAAATTCATTTGTCAAAACAAGGCATGTTTAAGAGTAGATACTTTTGTAATCCCAGCACTTTGCAAGGCCAAGGCAGGAGGATCTCTTGAGGCCAGAAGTTCAAGATCAGCTTGAACAAAAAAGTGAGACCGCATCTCTATATAACATAGAAAAATTAGCTGGGCGTGGTGGCATGCACCTGTAGTTCCAGCTATTTGGGAGGCTGAAGCGGAGGATCACTTAAGCCCAGGAGTTTGAGGCTGCAGTGAGCCAAGACTGTGCCACTATACTCCAGCGTGGGTGACAGAGTGAAACTCTGTCTCAAAAAAAGAGATACCTTTGGAAGATGGGACTCGGAGTAAGGAAAAGAGGAAGAAGAAAAAGGAGACATATAGGCTCTTGATACTGTGAGGGAAAAAAATGAATTCATTCAATAGTCATGTATTGATTACTTACAGTGTTCCAGGCATTCTACTGGTTGCTGATATATAGCAATGAACAAGACAGACATGATCTCTGTTGTCATAGAGCTTACAGTCTAGCCTCATAAGGTTATTGCCACTTCTGGCTTCATTAATTGTTTAAGTTGATCACAGTGTAATATTGATGCAATCTGGATCATGGCTTTGAATCCAGAGTGGGCTAAGACCATGGCTTTGCTTCATAGACACAGACCTCAACCCCAGCTTAGGTGATACTGTACAAAAAAGCATGTTGTTAGATCAAAGTAAAAATAATTCCCTTACTTGAAAATCAAGAGAGTTAATGGGGCATTAATGTTTTCTTTATAGATAAAGTGCGGTACTGATCCTAATCCAATAAATGATAGCTTGTGAAGAAAAATGATTTTTTTTTTTTTAATAATGACACACCTCTCTCAAAAATGATATGGGCTTGACGGTGGCTCATGTCTATAATCCCAGCATTTTGGGAGGCTGAGGCAGAAGGACTGCTTGAGGCCAGGAGTTTGAGACCAGTCTGGGGGAAAAAAAATTAGCCAGGTGTGGTGGTGTGTGCATATAGTCCCAGCCTCTTAGGAAGCTGAGACAGGGCCATCATCTGAGCTCAAGAGGTCAAGGCTATGGTGAGCCGTGATTGTGTCACTGCATTCTAGCCTGGATGACAGAGTGAGAGCCCTACCCTCCCCCACCCAAAAAAAGAGTATGGACTGTGAGTTTCTGCTCTTCATCTTATGAAACTCATAAATTTGAGTTATAGTTTGCCAAGTACTAAGAGAACCTTGACAAAGCAGGCTAAAACTGTCAGTGCCTGCTTTGCAGATTTTGCTGAACATTGCATACTTTATTTTTTATCTGTGAGGAAACATACTTGTATCTGACTAAAAACCTCTGTTCCTTTCAGAGCAAAATGGCATCATCTACCTTCCTGCACCAGAACGATGATGGCAGATCCCTCTCCTTCAGTTCTCTTTCCTCTGGGGGCCATGGTCTCATCTGTTCTCCACAGACTCAAGTCCAATGCTCGAAGCTCTCAACCCACCCACACTCGCATGGGTGCTATAGGATTGAGCATTTATGACAGAAAGATAGAGGCTGCAAAAAGACTGTCAGCCTTCAGCCTCTTTTATCACATTTGGTTTTAAATACAACTTGTCTCATGATACAACACTTCACTACATTCCATTTGTCAACTGTGATTTATGAGTAGATTAGAGACTCTCCAAGCTGGACAGAACCTTCTTGGGCAGGAAATGTCTCCCACAGGGCCTTTGACTTGAGCATCCAGCCTCTACTTGAACAACATGTGAAGGACACCTCAGTAACTTGTAACAGGGCCTTTCTCATTCATCTTCTTTCATGAGAAGTTTTATTGTACAAGAGCTTCTAACATCATGGGCACCATGACTGTGAGCCTAGGTCAGGTTGGACCCTTTTGAGAGCAGCCAGCAAAGTTTCTACAACAACCTGTGAATGGCTTGATTATTTTATAACATTTTCTGACCTGAGAGAACGCAAAAGTGCCTGGTAGCTTGGAATCTTGAAATATGCCTGGTCAGATCTATGAAGATGGTCTCACTCTTTGTGTCTTTTGTGGGGAAATTAAGAACAATAATTGGCCGGCCTCAGTGACTCATACCTGTAATCCCAGCACTTTGGGAGGCTGAGGTAGGAGAATTGCTTGAGCCCAGAAGTTTGAGACCAGTCTAGGCAGCATAGTGAGACCCTATCTCTACTAAAAACATAAAAAATAAAATAAAATAATCAGTTGGACATGATGGCACACACCTGTAGTACCAGCTACTCAGAAAGCTGAGGTAGAAGGATCACATGAGCCTAGGAGATCAAGGCTGTGGTGAGTCGTGATTGTAACACTGCACTCTACCTGGGCAACAGCGTGAGACTCTGACTCAAAAAAAAGAACACTAATTATCAGATATATTATCACCTCCAGTGAAACTACAGAGACCTGGACCCAAGTTGCAACATTTTAATATACAAATAATAGTACATTTATGTCTCAGAAGAGAGTTTAATTCTACCTTCTGCCTTTCTGATCCTGGCTTATCATAGCTGGGCCAGACTCATCTTCCTACAAATGCTATCATTCCAACATCTGTACTGGGAATAAAGAAAAGCCCCATTGTGAGGATTAATATGCCTTGATTTCCTTTCTCTCCCCAACCCCCAAGGATCCCCACCTTACTTGCCTCCTGTCCTGCCATGTGTCACTACTTCTCCTAGTGCTATCAGCCATACTGTTGTCTGTCCCACTTTTCTGACCCTGTTTGTCTGCATACCTTAGCCATGATACTTACTTCAGTGGCCCTAACTTTGACAACTGGCTTTTGTCTTGCACCTCAGTCTTGACTTCCACTCTCCCCTGACCTTGACTGTGACATCTGCCTTTTGTTTTAATCATTATAAGCACACATAAAGACAGCCCAGTGTGCCAGACCCCTAAGAACTCACCTGTCAGGCTTCCACCTTGCTCCACTGTTCTATCTGCTTCTGGGAATCAAGGTCCTACTCTCCATCTCTGTTTTCCAGGGCCTGTTGAGTTGCATAGGAACACAGTTGTTTATTTTGTTTTTTTGGGCTGCCACGGGCAATTTCCATACCATCTTCTAAGCAGCCTTGCACTGTGAAGAGAATACATGCACATTTATTTCTGGAATGGCTCTTTTTACAATCAGCATAATTAGGCTGTAATATATTTTTGGATGGGCACTTAAAGTGGAAAAGTACATATTTAGATAGATACAAATGATGTGTCTATGTAAATATCTTTAGACTCTGCACCTGATGGTACTCTCATCAAAGACACGGATGGTGAAAAGCCCTTTGTGTGCCCAGGGCCATGCCCTTCACCTAACACATAATATGATACCCAAAAGGATGAAGAAGAGGAGGAGGCAAGAACAAGGGTGTAACGGCAAAACATTCTGTTACAGCACTTATGTTTCTCCCTGGGGGATTTTATAATATGAATAGAATTATAGACTGGGCACAGTGGCTCACACCTGTAATCTCAGCACTTTGGGAGGCTGAGGCAGGCAGATAGCTTGAGCCCAGGAGCTCAAGACCAGCATGGGCAACATAGCAAGACCTCATTGCTATAATAAAAAATAAAAAAAATTAGCAGGGCGTGGTGGCACATGCCTGTAGTCTCAGCTACTTGGGAGGCTGAGGCAGGAGGATTCTGAACCCAGGAGGCTGAGGCTGCAGTGAGCCTTGATCATGGCCACTGGGTGACAGAGTGAGATCCTGACTCAACACAAACATAAAAGTAAGAAAAGAATTATAATATAAAGGTGATTTAAAAAAAAAAACCTAAAATTTTACAACCTTCATTTTACTGTAGATGGTTCAAGATGATATTACTTCCTAATAATCTTAGACTTGTTATCACTTCATTCATTCATGTTTGTTGACTGCAAATGCTCAGTGAGCAGAATCTCAAAGCATTTGGTACCATAATGTCAACATTAAAAACAAAGAACTGTGTTATTATATTCTGGCTTTGAGTTGTCTTTACTGAGTATTTTGGACCAAGAGAATGAAAAACTTGTTCAATTCTGTTCTTTTTTTTAAATTTCACTACATTGATTACCTGATTTTGGGTTTTTTGTTTTTGGGTTTTTTTTTTTTTTTTTGGTGTTTTGTTTTTAATACATACAGACCAAGATGTAGAACATTAAAGCACGGCAGATGTAACAGGGAGGAAGAGAAAGCAGTTTGAAGTCAGGCGCAGCTTCCTGGGCCAGACCCTTCCATCGTAGGATTCCTGAGCTCTCTCATCAGCGGCTTGGCCTTTTTCTCTCTTCCTCCTCTTGCTCTTTCTGAGTTCTGATTTTTCCCCTATTTCTGGGGAACGACTTGACTTTGCCTCTTCTATTTTTGGCCCAATAGAAGGTTGAGTTTGCACTTGTGGCCATGAGGTGCAGTCATCCACTAGGGAGGCCAGCTGATCATTTCTGGCAGAGTCCCACAAGCAGTCACACCTTATTTCGATTGCCACTTTCTGGGGTTTTTGTCCTTATATGTGCAAGCCCAGTGTTCCCATGATGTGATTAGATGGATGGATAAAGTAGGGTGCCAATGTATAATTTATTGGGAGAGACACAATTGCCAAGCAGGTCAGGTATTTGTCTCAGCTGGTCAGTGCATCTTCTAACAGGAACATCTATATAACAACTAAATCACAGCAAGAAGAGTGCTTGGTTTCCCCAGAATTGGTGCAAAGGGCCACATTCTTTCTTGTTACCTCCCCTTGCTGAGGTTTTCTCACACACAATTTATTAGTTCATGGAGTATCCTCTGGGGAGGAGAGGGACTGGTCACAGCCACATGGTGTGGACAGCAGAGCTAGAAGGAGCACAGATAACTTGTCTTCCAGCCCAGGCATTTCCACTTGGCTGCAGTGGATACTTCTACTGCCTGTCCCGAATTGCCTTCAACACTGCTCTGTCCTTGGACACTGCCATCTTCCAGCCTTGGATCTCTCTGTAACATCCCTGCATCTCCTTTTCCCTTTGGCCTCCCTTTCTCCAAAGTCCTTCCAGCTTCTGGTTACCCCAAATCCTACAGGCTGTGTAACAAATCCCAAAACCTAGTGGTTTAAAACAACAACAACACTCATTTCATCATCTTTCATAGTTTCTATGAATCAGGAATTTGGGTAGGGCTTGGGTAGACAGTTCTAGTTTGTAGCCTCTCATGGAGTTGCAGGCAAGCGGTGACTGGAACAGAAATGGTGCAAGACTAAAGTGGCCAGGGTGGTGGCCAGACATCTCTCTCTATGTAGCCTCAGGGACACTTCATGAAGTCTCTCTGTGGGGATTCATTTGGGCTTCCCACAACATGGTGGCTTCAGGGCAGTCAGACTGCTTACAGGAGCGAGTGTCCCAAGAGAGCAAGGCAGAAGTGCACAGCCTTTCTATGACCTAGCCTTGGAAGTCACAAAGTGTCACTCTTTTTATACTCTAATTGGTCAAGGAAGTCATAAATCCTGCTCAAATTCAAGATGAGGAAACATAGACCCCAACACGTGGTTAGAAGGTTGTCAAAATTACCTTGTAAGAAGAGCATGTAGATGGGAGATATGTTGTGGACATTTTTGGAAAGACACAATCTGTCACAACTGCCCCCAATGTCATTCTACCTGTACCTGTTCCTGAGGGTGGCCATAACGATGTACCACAAGTGGGGTGGCATGGAGCAACAGAAATGTATTGCGCCAAAGTTCTGGAGGCTGGAAGTGCAAAATGAAGGTGTTGGCAGAGCCATGCTCCCTCTGAAGGCACTGGGGAAGGACCGGTGCCAGGCTTCCTTCCCAGCTGCTGGGAGTTCTGAGCCAGGTGGCTGCATAACTCAGTCTTCATTTGGTGCACATGGCTTTGTGTCCACATTTCCCTTTTTTGGAAGACATTAGCCATATTCGGTTGGGGCCCACCTTACTTCGGTATGACCTCACCTTAACTAAATATATCTGCAACAACCCTACTTCCAAATAAGGTCACAGTCTGAGGTGCTGGGGGATAGGACTCACACAAGAATTTTGGAAGAACACAATGCAACACTAACCACACCCCTACCTAGCCTCTGCAGGCTCCTCTCAGTCCACCAAACCTCTTTTGCTCTAGCAGAGTATCTAGCAGTTAGGAAGCCAACATAATTAAATGAATTCAGCCTACAGTGAGACTTGACTCTGTGAGAGAACATCAATTCAAAGGAATCTGTGGAATTTGGGATGGTTTGGAGACATCTGTGGGCATAGGGGAAGACATCCTACCAGTAAGTCACAACACTTAGTTTTCTTCCATTTATTAAGCTCACTGACTCCCCCAACCTCCAAAGGAAAGGGCAGGACAGGGAAAGTGTTCTTGGCCTTCAACTGTTCATCCCTGATGGTGGAAGGAGTTGCTCATGATCTACTGGCCCACCAGCTTCTGCCCTAGAGCCTGAGGCTTCTGGTGCTGGCCATCTTTGCTTCTCAATAGGAAGGTCAAGTTCTACCAGAAGGAGATGCTGATGGCAGAGATGACAACAAACGTACCTTTGTTGTAAATGTAGTTTGATTTCAACACTGA